CGCTATTTTTGAGATTAACATAAACTTTGTACAGGTTTTGTCGCAAAATGGCTCGATCGAAATTGAAAATTAGTGATTTAAAAAATCAAGTATAGAATAACAAATTTTTTAATATAAATCGTTTCTCAAGGAAAAATCGCCTTTTAAAATTATAAGTGATATAAGTTAGATATTTAAATGACACAGAATTTATAATAAATTTACGAAAAATTTTCAGATCAAAAAATCGTTATAAGTGGAACATTATTCAAAATGAAAACGATTAACTTAACAATCCATTTTTGAATAATAATCAAAAAACGAATTTGTAAATTTATCTTTTAGCCATTATGAAATGAATGAATGGGTAACAATCGTTATCATTAATTTTATAGATATATTCAGTCGAATCGCTACCTCGCAACGCAATTTTAATTATTTAAATAAATTATGAATTTTTTATTTATTGATAACTCAGTCAAAAATTAGTTATCAAAGTGTCAAATTCTTGCTTCTCTGTCTTAATACGCTACGATCGCTATTGTACATTCGAATTTGCAATATACTCATTTATCGCAAAATTGCTAGCGATATTTACTTGTAAATTAAATTAAACTAACAAATACATATTTAATGACTATAACTTGAGATTCGAGATCAACGCATAAAAATTGACTGAAAAATGCTTTTGTTCATTAGAAAAAACTTTGCAATGTAAACAATAATTTTCCCACGCTCGTGACGTCACGTTCCTTATATGGTTTTGTTTTCGCCGAATTGCCCTAACACATTTACATGTATATAAGAAGAGCACCTTTGCTCAAGAACCGCTTTTCTTCAGTTTTCTTGTGTACGACGGGTTGCTATTTTGCAGTGAGAGAAAAGGCAAATCAGACTGAATCGTTACATATGAGATAAAAAAATGTATAATAATTTAGACTTTGTTAAAATAATTGATTAAAAAAATTATTTATTTGGCTTCTGATACCATGAATCAATGAATTTCTTCAGAGTTATGATGTAAAACGTATTAAAAGTTTTAGCGAATGCTCATAGAATTTTACGAAACATAATCTACTTATACCCCATAACACGAAGGTATTTTTATAGTTATGAGATACACTGTGTATTTAAATATTATAAAAAAATTATTTCTACTACTTTGAAATCTTTAATGCATAAATAAAAGCCATAAAAATTACTTATTTGTCAAATAGTTTTTCAATAAATGTTGTAACGGGGGGTTTTATTCTGGGCGGAAATAAAAATCTTACCCGTTAAAGAAAAGGATATACGTTGCGAGGCTAACCGTCGCCTCGATCAGCTTGTTCGGACAGCCTCAACCTTCTGACCTTTCGCCCCAGAGCCCGTAAAAACCCACACGTGGAGAACACGTGCGGCGATCCGGGTTGCCCAGTGACTCAAGGTCGGGCAGGTTCTGTTATGGACGATAGAAGAGAAAAACAAAAGGGGATTCGAACAAAATCTCAGCTAATTGTCGCAAGATCTACAAATTTATTCCTCTTTGCCGCGTTCGGTTATACAAAGGTAAAGTTGTGGCCGAGAGATTTCGCCGGATATGTCGCGTTCGCGATAAGAGAGAGAAAGACGCGCACTATCTGATTTTGATATTCGGCCACGCGCATTTACATCCAATATCGGGGACTTACGTCGCGGGAACGAGTCGTTGCAGACAATGGCGTTCTTGACGGTGTCCCGTCGACTTCTGGCCCTTCCTTGCGGCACTCTCCTCAGCCGAGGTTTTCCCTGCCCGGATTCACAGTTGCCCGCGATCCTCGACTGTTGCCTCAGATTGCTCTGGGCAACTGGCTATAATGGGCAGTGGACGATCTTTTCCTCAGCTGCGATTCTCTGCTCCCTTGGAACTATCGGCCCTCCGCACGATGTCGGTCGAGGAGTTCATCAATTTCTTTTTTTGGTCACTTGTCACTCGTGCTTTTCTATCCGCAGGTCCGGACTCGAATGTCACCACGCGCTCCTCTCCTCTCCTTTCGCCTCGCGCACTCCGGCCGGCGGCCTAATCGCTCTCATTTCCTCTTCCCTTTTTCCTACTGTCCCATGTTACGCGCGTTTAACGCGCGCTGACCGATGCCCTAATCTCTCTCCTCTCTCCCACTTTCTTTCGTTTGTTCGTTTCGCGGGCGCTTTCCGCTTCCCCTTATCTGCTTTATTCTCGCGGGCCGATTTTTGCCCCACGCAATGGAAGCGCTTAGGCTCTACCTTTAACGAGCGACACTCGTTACAATATTTAAAAATATTGCAAATATAAATGAAAAATATGGAGACTGAAGCCATGGCATGTGTAGTGTCTCATAAACTACACTTCTGGCCACAGGTCGTTGCCGCGACCTTTGATATCTTGAAATCAGGTTAATAAGATAAGATTTATATAAGGTTTAAATAAGATCTAGTTAAGATTAAGATCATAATCAAGAACATATTAGCAACGCGAGATAGTATAAGATCAAGATAGGTCGAAAATAAGATTTTTAATTTTATTTTCTGTGTAATTCCATTTCGATCCTTTAAACCATAAGAATAAAAAAACAAAAGTTATTTGATGTTATTTTTAATTGAAATATGAGTTATCATAATTTCATTTTTATACTTGGCATTTGGTAATAAATTACTGTAGAGGACTCATATCATCTTTGGAAGAAATGAATATATACTTGGCTTCGAAATATCTAGCAGCTAGGCGTCCAATGAATGCTGTTATATCCTTACTGAGGAATTCAGTCAAACAGGAAGGATGAAATATCTACTAATTTAATTTTTGGAATTTCATTGAAAATTTTGCAAATGACAGCACGCTAAGTTAGTGATAATAATTCATTTTATTATCAGAATTTTTGAGCTGATGATATCGAATGATTTTTTATATTTATCATCAAAAGACGAACTGTTACAATTTCATCTTTAAGACAAATAAAGTTTGGAACCCGTAGCATTGACTAAAAATTTCGCAATTCTGGGACCTTAAAAACTGCATTTTATTTTAGAATTCACTTATATACATGGAGTAGTGTAAAATGCATAATCGCTTACGTCAATTTAATTGGCATAACAACTCAATTTCACTTTACAACCGAAATTGTCGGGAAAGACTATATTTTCGTAACAGTAAATATATTATTCAAAATATATTCTTTCAAAAGCATTTTAACAATAGTTAATTTTTGCCTAAAATTAAATTTCAAAAATAATTGGCCAGTCTTACAAATCTATCACAAAAAGTCAGTGATGAGAATCCGATGAGGCTACAAAAAATTTCATTTTCATGAATTCGTATCGCATGTATATTATTTATACAACTATGTCCAAGATGCTTGGCACTGTCAACTATGAATCTTGGGCATAGTTGTATAAACGATATACGAGTAGATGCAATACGACTTCATGAAAATGAAATTTTTTTTGTAGCCTTATCGGATTCTCATCACTGCAGAAAGAGGATTTAAGCGTTCACATTGAGCAGCCGTAGAATATATTTCTCAATAAAATGATCTATAATTTATTTAAGATCTGTGCAACAAAATTTGTTGGATAAGAACTTACTTAAATTATTTTACCGAAAAGTATGATTCTAATAAAAAAACTAATGATAATATCAAAACTTTCACTTTTAAGACTTAATGTTTTACTTTATTAGTTTTTTTTGTAGATAATTTTTTACATTATTACCTTATTTGTAGGTATAGAAGATGTACAATGTCAACTTAGGCCTAGAAGCGTTTTGGGTTGAGGATGATACAAAAGTTTTCATTAAAACGCGATAAATAAGTTAGAGTTAACAGTGGCCACAATGTAAGTTGATTGTATTTAAAAAATAGCAATTCTTAGGTTTCTCATGTTTCAGAGCCACTTTGAGATACGTATTACTACATATATTTTAAAAATATTACTCTCTCCTCTACACTTTTATTATTATACTTTCATCTGAAGCGATGTCGTTATCGATAATCTCCAAAACAATTTTTGATTAACAATTTCTCATTATTGAAAGATACATATTATAATTTTAAGAGAAAAAATATTTGCGAAAACCCTCCATCGTTAACTAATGATAAATTAATTAAATTAATGACTAAAACCGTTCATCTATTGCATAGATGAGCTGCAATTCAAAAAATTGAGCGTCTATATTGTTGGTTAGGGAACAATCTTCATTTTTTATTTATACGAGGGCTATCTGAATAATTTTCTAATTAAACCTGAAGATGGTAGCACTTATCTACATAAGATAGAATATATGTTTGTGAATGTCTCGAGAGATCCTCATTAAAATTTTAGCCATTTAGGCCAGTTAGCTAATAATAACAGTGAATCAAATTATTTTTAAATGAATTCTAGCGTTGTTTCGGATTATGAAACTGTGGTATCTTGACATTATAAATATTGGTAGTTACTAAGCAAAATAAAATTTTGAAGAACACGTTAATTTAATGGTGGTAGATTATAAAATGTATTGATGTATTAAAAATAGTACGAAAAATAATGGGACTTCAGAAGTGGTAAAATAGAAAGATTAAACGTATGAAAGCTCGGAATAAGCAAAGAGTACGCGATTCACGTAAAAAATCATTTTGTTGAAATAAATATGTATTTTTATGATGGTTAACGAACTGTTAAAGCATTAAATCAAACAAAATAGTGATAATTTGGTGATCAAATGGGATCGATCAAAATATGAATTACATTATCATATTGTTAGGTATTAAATTAAGAAGTATTTAATAGTAATCGCTAATAGATAACCATGAAGTGTTTGAATATTGATAACACGTGGAAGGTTTGAGCCACGCTTACAAAAAAAAAAAGAAATTTCTCTATTATGACAAATAAATAAACCTACCAATAAATAAAGAAGTCAATTTCGACACATGTATTAATAAATTATTTTGCTGGTCTGTAGAATGTCAGAATATTTTACAAAAAATCGAAGAATTCCTGAACTAAGTTCTGCTGTTATTGACATTTAATGAGGTATTTGTACTTACCACGACAGGGATCGTTCTTGACAAGGAATTCATCGAGAGCTACCCATCCACCTCCTACACGTACCATAACGGTAGAGCGAAGAATCCTGACTAAACGAAGTTTTTGGCTATCGCCAAACTGCAAAAAGCAAAGTACATATTAAATATTAAAAGAGAAAGTATACATATCGTACATAGGCTAAGCAAAACTCGCAACACATACTCTATATTTGCCTTCTCCTACTTGATAGACTCGAAATTTTTGGCGACAGGTACAAAGCATGACCAGCCGTCTGACTTCATCGTGAATTTTGTCACTATCATTGTAGGTACGTCGTTCTTGCCAGTCAGGCCTCAGTGCCGCTATAAATTCTTTCCAATCGATAAGTCCTTCGCCATGACGATCAAATAGGTCAGCCACAGCGCCCATTTCTAGTCGGGATGTATCGAATTCTGCGAATACCATCAAGCATCACAAATATGGTAACAGGTTTCGATAATACGAAGACCGCCTTTCCTACTCTCGCTACTGTTCCTTCACTACGTCCACACCGTGATTAAAATCGCTTGCAATAGTTATGATTTTATCTGTTTGATAAGTTTTCAAAGTTTTTGACTGATTCGTTTTACTAATTCATGTATTATTCTGAACTTGAATACTGAGAAACGTGATAATGAAGGTAAATATTACATTTAGGTTAAAGTCCTTCTATAATAATCTATAGTTTTTATATAAACAATGTTTGCTCCAAAGTTTAGCCATGAATAAAGCTTGTAAGGCCTTGAAAATACTATAAATATAATTTAGTAGATTAATTTAAAAGTACTATGAATTAATCAAGGCTCATTTAGTACATTTGTTTTTCTAGAGAGTAATTTTGAATACGAATTTGCAAAGGTCTTATTGGATTGTCATTTGAGTTTTGTTCGTATTCACAATTTAATTTAAAAAAATTTTTTAGAGGAAATTACTGTACTCAACAAACGGTAATATATATATTCAAGGCATTTACATCGTACTAATCTACTGATTTATATGATTTTCAAGCATTGCGATGCATAATCGTAACGAACTCTCGGAACAAAGATGGTGCATTATTTGCGTGTGTGCGTGCGCGCGTGTGTAGTGATATAGGGAGAGGCCTAAAATAGTTATATATATATATATATATATATAGGCTTATATGTATGTATGTATGTATGTATATACATATAAGCCAAGGCAAACGCGAGTACACTCTGCAGCGCGAGATAGTATAAGACTAAAACATCAAACGAATCGAGCATTGATGTTTTATAATCTTACGATAAAATTATAGTTATCGAAAATATTCAAGACAGTATTGACTTTTGTCTCGGCTATGATGCTTTAAAAAATTTTCAATCCTAGCTCGCCCATATTCAGATTTTTCATGTAGCTGACAATCAGTAACTACGTCCAATCAAACTTACACTCCGCGTGGTAAGACAAAATACGCACTAGAACGTTTTACAGCCGGCTGTGTTAAGCGTAATACAGCTTAGGAGCACTAACGATCTCTAGTTATCTGAGCTATACACTATTATAGCCGCGGAGTTTCTCGCGTATTCGCGATCTATTTACCGATGGAGGTCTTCTGCATGGAAAACCTGAAATACGGTAGCCTAGACTGAAAAATAATTAAAAATGAAAACGTTTTTAATAATGTACGTGATTTTGTTCAACTTTTAAAGAATCAAAAGTATTCCATAGATAAATCACTTAATTTCAACTTTAAAAAACTTTTCCAAATATTTCATCTCACGTTGGGCTCTTCAAAAACCGAGATTCGATTTAAATTAGAAATAATTGAATGAATTGAAAATTTGTAAATATAAAACGTTCTTAACTGTTATTGAATGCTATTCATATATGATCATGATTTATTAAATTTCATGTCTTGTTTAAAATATTAATTTTCCGCTACTGCAACCTCCTTGATTATTACTTGTTTTGCCACATTCAAATGAATACTTACTCGTATTCAGAATTCCTTGAATAAAGTCATCTCGAGGAATGAGACCATCATTATTTTTATCCATTTTTCTGAAGAGATCGGTTAGCCGCGACTTTTTGTGGTTCATAAATTTCAAGAACTGCAATAGAAGAAATTTCCAGGGTTAATGTAATTTTCGAAACACTACTCTTAATTTCTATCATAAGTCCGACTGTGGAGTTGTAACTTAGTAAAACTGATTAATTGTAAAGGCAATAATTGATTCCTGTTAACTTTTATTTATTACCCTTTTTCTCCACTCTTCCCAGCTGAAATTGGCTACTCGATCTAACTCATCGATGTAATTGAGCTTATCCTGAAGTCTTCGCTGACGTTCCCAAGCTAACATCCAAACATTTCTCCATCTATCCCAGAGAAGCTTCACCCGGGGATTACGGAATTCTGGTTCAGCCCCTTTACTATAACATAGGCGTAAGCTCCATCAGCATCAACATGACAATGATCGTTCAATTAAAATCTACTCATTACTGCTATTCAAAGCAAATTATTGGAATCTTAAGTCAATAATTTCACTTACAGTACCTATATATTTTAATTATTTTATTAAAGACACAACAATATTGAAGCAATCACTAAATAATAATTTAACAATAGATTATCTTCATGATTCTTGCTCATGTTGTTTTCAAAGTTGATTGGAGCTATAGCATAGCAATAAAATGATACGAACCTTCCTTTTGGTGGGAACCGTGGGCCGATGTGTGGTAGTGATGGATCTGGGGTTCTTTCGCGACCTGGACTGCTTCGTCTAAACAAGAACGAACATGCCTCGAATCACTCAAAAACACTACTCTTAACTATTCATGGAAACATTTCTCAGTTTTTCTTTAGCTTCACTTAAGTATTTTCGCTTCCTTTATTTTATTCTTTTTCAAAAATGTCGGAATGTAACACTAAATACTTTATTACATTGTACTATTTTGCTTTACGGTCGCATTCACGTCAGTTAAGATTATATAATATAATAAAACTTCTCAATTTGATCATTCTTTTAAATTGACAATCTTTAAATTTAGTGAAATAACGTTGGCTTATTTATGTTTTATATCGTAGACTGACGTATTCGAGTTATTACGGACACATGACACTTAGCAGTAAATAGGTAATATGCGCGCGACAAGCTCCCCAGCCATGTAAGGGGAAGGAAGGGGGGGGGGTATACGGACAATTGTGCACTGGTTTATTACACACAGTAACATAGCATAAGAATTAATATACGCTGAGTCACGCTATATTACTGTACAGAATAATTTATGTGTATAATAAAACCGGGTACCATAGTCTGCACGCCTATAAGGACCAAGCGGGTATCCGCAGTCAATCACATCCAACTTTTCTAGATGTATTTTGACTTCCAGGATCTGAAGAAGATGATTAATTAGACAAGGTACCTTTTAATTATTTATTTACAATTTCAATGTTTATAACGTTACATATTTTTTGGTGATGAGTTGAATTGATTGAATTAGCACCTTGTATTGAAATAACTAGATTAGTGTTATAATCATCTGAATCCTGATTTCAAAAAGACAGCTTACGCTCTCGCACGCTACGTCCGGAATCGATTTTGTTAATTTATTATATTTTCAGTTCTACATGATAATGATATTTTTATAAAATATAAAAATCCGCATACTGCTCATGAGACTGAAAATTATTTAATAGATCAAAATTCATCTAGGAAACTTGCGTGTTTCAAGAGAACGTCGATCGGCAACGGGTACTCCCCCTTACCTGTAGACTAGTATAGAAGCTCTGTATAGCCTAGGAAGCCGTAGTGAGAATGGCTACTGGATTATATTGAGTTGTACGCAGCAGTATTCACTCTTGTATATCGGTTTACCACCAGATGAAGGGACTCAGCGGAAAATCGACGAAAATCGACTCGAAATAATTATAGAAAATTCCGCGCCTTTATGTTAATAAAATAATTCCAAAAGTTGAACACTCCTAGATCAATAGAAATTTAATTTGTGTGTCGTTTTAATACGAGTTTTAGAAATAAATGTGTTGAATCAATAGCAAAAATAACGCACAATTTTTCTATCCAATCAAAATATTATTATAAGCATCTGTTAAAGAATAAATATTTTTTTCATACCAGCGATAGATGCACCTGAAAGATCAGTCCGTAACATAGATTTACACCTTTGTGGAATTGTAATTTATCAATGTTAACTATTTGTCAATTCTTTAACCCAAATAAATCTTCAAGTACTTAAAATTATTGGTTATTGAAAAAATAACTCATTAATATCAGTACAATTCTTGCACTGACATTCTTGGGAAGATATTTTCTGTTGAAATAGTTGACATTGTTAAATTTTTGAAAAATCATTTATGCTTATAGATGCCCTTTTCAGAGCACAGTATGTCTTGAATCTACGTTATCTACTGATCTTTCAGGTGCACGTATCGCTGTTACGAGAAATACTATTTATTACATTATAACGGATAGTTATAATGATATTTTGATTGGATAAAATAATTTGTATAAAAATCGAATGAAAACACTATGCAGATTAATTTCTATTTATCTAGGAATGTTTAACTTTTTGGAATTTTTTGATGAAAAAAATCCTAATTGCGCGGAATTATGAATGAGCTTTGCTATATTTGCCAATCGCGCACAGTTTTTCTGTAATTTTCATCGATTTCCTGCTGAGTTTATTCATCCTCTACCACGTGGGTTGTATATTTATGAATAGAATAATACAACGACGATAACTATAGGTCTTAAAAATTAGCATCCAGAATTAGTTTGTTTACAATACTCGATAAACTAATTATACTATTAGATAGTTCATCTAATGAATTTTTGTTATTTTCATTTGTTAGTTTGTCCACAAATATTATCTTAAAAATAATAAAATAAGCCTTGAATGCTAGGCTTCAGTACCCAAGTTTGAATCGAGTTAAAAAATTGTAAAGTGCTTTTGAAAAAATTTTTAATGACCAATCCTTATGAACTAAAAGCATTTAGAATAAAAGCGCTGATAGATCCATTATTTAACGAATAAAAAATAAAAAAACCGTTTTGATCTATAGTTTAAGACATACGACCACTAGTCGAAGTGGCGTACGCATGCGGCTTAGATACGCACGGTAAGAGCTACTACTGTTGGCGAAGCCGGGTGTCAATTATTTTATCGAAGTCCAACTTGGTTTGTCTCAGCTACTTACAGTAATAGTGCATACCCAAGTCGCATGCGTGCGCCACTTCGACTAGTGGTCGTATGTCTTAAACTATAGATCAAAACGTTTTTTTTATTTTTTATTCGTTAAATAATGGATCTATCAGCGATTTTATTCTATATGCCTTTTGTTCATAAAATGAACTAACAATTGGCTAGTTAATGGTTTTTTTAAATGTACTTTATAATTTTTTAACTTCATTTAAACTTGGCTACTGAAGCCCCTAGCACACCAAACTTATTACATTATTTTTAAGGTATTAGTTGTGAACGAACTGACGAATGACAAAGTTGTTGCTTATTCGATAAACTATCTAATGGTATAACTAACTTATCGATTATTATAGAAGAACTGATTCTAGGTGCTAACTTTTAAGACCTATATACTCTCGAAAATTAGTGTATTGTTTACATCGTGCACTTATTAACAGAATCAACTTCATCTGCACGTAATTTGAATATTAACCAAGAATATAATAGTACCAGTACATTTCGATATTATCGCAAGAAAGTGATCTCAGCCTCGTGTGGACGTTTGTGCCCGAGGAAAGTTAGGGTAAAGAGATCGCACGAGGCTGAAATCACTTTCTCTCACATGTATCTAACTTTATTTTTCAATATTACGTACGTGAAATGAGATTTTAAGCATGTTCGATTTTTCGAGTGTGCCCACACACTGAGTGTCAAAACATTTTCTAAGTGCCATAGCAGAGTCATAGCTAATACTACTTTTTGGAGCTTGGCTCACCCAAAACACATAAATAACCAATATTGGAGTTCACTTTTATGTAATTATGGATAAGTTGCAATCAGAATTGATCAGCATAGAGAAGTTTCATTGTATAATATTTATTTAATGATAATGAACATTAAAGCAGAGTAAAATTATAGATTACGATTATTTGTTTTATTTTTTATTTTTTACTACAGTTAACACATTTTTTTCATCATAATAATAACGATTTTTTCTGCATAAATCTAAACTAAATTAATTTAAAAATCTTGCAATCAATTACCGTTTTATAATTTTTCAAAGAATTGTAAATATTTTACAAATAATATACTTTATATCATTAATGCAAAAAAGAAAGACTGATCTATGATCATTTCAATAATTTGAAGATCCCATATTTAAAATGTCAGTTTTCTAAGGTGTTTTAACTGATTGTTTACATTAAAGCATGCAAATTACATTCTTAAAATAAATACTCACCTTCTCCATGTATTAGTGAGTATCAAATAAATAAGTATTCACCTGAAGTTACGTTTCAAATAGAGTCACGTATTTTCTCAACCTCTACCAAACTTCAATTTTACATATTTTCAAAGCCTATTGAAGTGAATGCTTTATGCAACAGTCATACATGCTAACACACCGTGTAAAATATAATATTAGTAAGCAAACAAATAATTATTTGTAAAACAATGAAGTTATATAATAATGAAGTAACTCGTCTTTACTATACATCACAAGAGGTAATACAGACACATATAAGCGTATGTATTTACACACTCACGCACATACACACATATGTATAAAGAGTAAAAGAAAAGCAACATACGCAATTGTTGATGGTTTGATTTTAAATAGTTTCCGAGAGTCCTTTATAGGTTTAATTTGTCTAGCTTTGCAGACTCGATCGACTTCATTTTGACGCCTTGCAGTATTTTCCATGAACTCTCGGTGATCAGAGATTAGCGTTTCGAGTATGGCATGGTCATCAGGCAATGGTTCACCCTCCAGGGTGATGAGAGTTGTTTCTAGACCTTCCAGCCATGTGAATAATTCGTCCAGTAGATTATCTAAATCCTAAATAATAGAGAACAGAATGAACGGAGAAGACCGGATAATAGATGGGGGAGAAAATTGGGACGATAAAGAATATCGATCATTGTGAAATCCAACATATTAAAATAGAAAAATGAATTGGAATAAGCTAAAATACCTGTAGAGCTTGCATGTGAGCCTCAAGTTTTTGATTACGTTGGTGAGCCCAAGTGGCAACCTCATCCCATCTAGACTGTATAATAGTGATCCAATGTTTAATAACGGCAATCCCGTCAGGATGGGATTCAGTTAGAATAGCACGAGCCAGCTCGAGAGTGTTCTCCTTCTCGGGCTCTTTGGTCGCGAGTTCCTTGAGAAAATGTTCATGCTCGAGAAGTTGGATTCTGCTCTCCTGCTCGTCCTCGGGAAGTATTCCAGCAAAGCGTAGCTTCATCTCCGCATCACTAAGCCACTCAAGCAGCAAATGTACAGCCTTGTGAAGTCGCTCCGCATCCTTAAGCGCCTCCTCGAGTCTGTGGGACTTGGCTAAAGAGAGTTGACTAACCGTCTGCCAAAGTGAGTCGAGTTGGCGCAACTGTAGTGCAATGCTTGCGGCGTCCTCGGCGTTAGCTTTGGCCTCGAGCTCGCGGCCGGTTCTGCCAACCGAGTCCATCTGGAGTGCGCGTGACTCAAGATCGGCTTCGAAGCCACGATGCTGTTCGACTAGTTGGGACACGGTGTCAAGGTCACCATGTACAGGACCAGCAGCTTCGATGTCGCGCTCTGCTTTGTGCAGCCAGTCAAGGAGGGCCTGAACGGCCTCCTTGAACTGACCGCTGAACAGTAAAGCCTCCTCAAGCTTGCGCTGCCTGTCTATGCTCTTGGTGCAAACTTGCGCCCATTTAGCCTTCAGTTCGGCGAGCAGTTCGCGTAGCTGGCTCTCATCCAACTTAGGCGCTTTGTCCTTCAAGCTTTTGCCGTTCTTCATGCACGCATCATAGCTGGGTTGCTTAACGCTGATCTCGCGCTGCACTTCACGGTGTCGAGCCAATCGCGACTTTATTTTGTCGGGCTCCTCACCACCCAGGCCTTCGTGCGCTACCTCATCCAGGCTACGCTCCGTCTCATCGAGCCAGGTCATCAGACTTGACCAGGCATCGTGGAATTCGCGTGCTTCCTTGTAACCATGATCGAGTGCCCGAGTTCTCTCGGCTGATTTAGAGACAACTCTCTCCCACCTGTGCAGACAAAAATTAGAATCAGCGTAGTTAAAACTCGTTGCTGGAGCTTTCGGGTATTGAATCAAGATAGTTGCCTAGCTCTAACTACTACTGACACTCGCCACAACTCGACTTACTATTTCTTACCTATGCTGCACGCTAATCAGCAAATTCTTGATAAGAATTACGTCCTGCTTTTGCGAGAAATACTTGAGGTGAGTACCCTTCTTGTCGAGGTTGAGCATTGTCTCGCGATGCACACCAACATCCTTCTGGAAGGATTTGTGCTCGTCTATTTGACCGAGGATTGTTTCCATTACGCGCGACACGGGCTTCAGATTTCCGAGTACTTTCTCAGCGTTGCTCAGCCAGTCGACGAACAGTTGCAGTGCATCGTGGAATTCATTGGCCTCTTTCAACGCGATCTCGAGCTTGATCTTCTTGTCGTTGGCTCGAGCACAGACGTTATCCCAACGTTGTTTGAGTGTCTTCAGGCTGTGACCGAGACTTCCACCGCTTAAACCGGTAGCATCTTTGAGGCTGGCGCGCCTCAGATACTCTTTGCCCTGCTGTAACACTGCTTCGACTTTGGCTCGATTCTGCTCAATCTCGTTATATACTTCCATAAAACGCTCAAGCTGCTCACTCGCCGTTTCTGGCAGGCCACCTACTGGCTTCGAAGCAACGATCGCACTGTCAACGTCGGCCAGCCAAGAAAGTAGGTCCTGCACTTCACCAGTGAATGACTGAGCTTCACGGAGTGCGTCTTCAAGCTCCCGCTGTCGATCAGCTGCGCGCTGCAGCAGCTCACGCCAGCGCCGATTGAGGGTACCAAGCTTGTCCGCAGTCGAGGAGGCCTCAGCACTACCTTTACCATCCTCGATCAACTGCCGGCCCGCGTCGTTGAGCGTGTCCACACTTGTCTGGTGAGCCTGGATGTCATTCACTAGTACCTTCAGCTTGGCCAGCTCGACCTCGATCACCTGCGCTTCGCCCGCCATCACTCGTAACTCATCGAGGCTACGCCCACTCTTTTCAATCCACACGAGTAGTTCGTCAAGCGCGTGCTGGAATTGACCGAGGCGCAGTAGCGCGTTCTCCAGCAACCGCTGTCTCTCCACAATGGCTCGTAGCAGCGCATCCCAGCGTCGGTTCACTTGAGTCAGAGGCTCCTTTATAGCCTGAGCTTGCTCCGAAGAAGTCCGCTCGGTCAGTTCCGCGGCTTGCCTGTAAGAGATGAAATTCAGTTAATACTACTCGATCAAGAAAAATAGGAAAAGGAGAAATTATAATCTATACTTACCTGTTGAGCGCTTCGACCTTAACCATATGTGGATCAACGTCAATCTTAAAATCGGCAAGTTGTTTTATCTGATTCTTAACCTCAAAGATATCGCTGCCAAGCGCGCCCATGACGGCGAATCTGTCCTCAGCTTCTTGCAGGAAGTGCCGCAACTGTTTGAGAATATCGTGGAACTCCATTGCCTTTTCCATGGCGTCAATTAAATTCTCTTCTCGCCTTGCGTACAGGGCTGTGATATTGTCCCACGCCTGATCGAGGTCTTCGATGTGTTTGCGGACTTCGGGCTTGTCAGGTTCGCCACATAGCCCCATCAGTTCGTGACCAGACTGGCGTACCTGTTCCACTTCGGGTTTCGTATGATCGATTTCTTGGCGTATCTCTTGCAAAGCCACCTGCTGCTGTTCGATAGCTGAAGGCTGGGCCGCTGGTGGCATTTGGGCCACGAGAGCATCATGCAGCTCAGCTAGGCTGGCCATCACACCACCGAGCTCGGACCAGAAGCGCTCGGCGCAGCAGAGGGTCTCGTCGAGACTACGAGTACGCTGGTCACTTTTTGAGTGCACTTCTATCCAGAGTTTTCCAAGACGTTCTAGCTTGCGTTTCACTTCTTTGTGCGCCGGATCATTCAAATTGAGGGCCTTATTGATGACCTCACCAGCGGCGCGTTTCACCGCGGCATACGCCTCTGCACGCTGGGCTAACTCCTCCGTTAGGGCGGCATTATCATCGAGTTGCTCACGTAGCCGCGGCGGGTGGGCACTGATCGGCTCCGCTCCTGCTAGCTGTTCAGCCGTGTGTCCGAGAGCGCGTAGCATGCCTTCAAGCTTATCGGCAAACTCGGCCGACTCTTGCAGCGCCTGTTCAAGGGTCTGTTGACGCTGCCGCAGTTCTGCCCGTAGGGCCGCAAAGCGAGCGTTGTCCTGATCAAGAACCTCTTGTACTTTAACCGCCTCCTCGCGATTGCACAACCGCTGTAATGCTTCACCGGTTTTATTCAGCTTATCGATGAGAGGCTTGTGCTCGTTCAAGGCCGCAACTAGAAGTTCATTGCGGTCTTGTTGCTGCGCGATTAGCTCGGGCCTGAGGCCTGGCATAGGCAGCATCGCCACCTGCTGCTCAATTTCGTCTAACCAGGATGCAAGCACGAGATGGGTGTCCCGAAGATGTTCCGCTAACGGCAGCGCTTGCTCGAGAGAGCCTAACCGCTCACCCGACAATCCTGCCACCGTATCAACGATCTCGCGCAGCTCCTCCATACGCTCTCGGATCGCGGTGGCGTCCTCGCCAAAGGCCTGACTAGGAACCCCAGCACCACCTGTGCCTTGTTGTAACGACTCGCGTGCGTTTTCCCTTATAACCTTCTTCGCCTGGCTAATCACCTCGCGTACGCGAGCCTTCTGCGCGGCGATGTCATCATTAAGCGCCCGATGCTCTTTCAGTTGTACCCGAATAACTTCGGGCTCGCTACTTGGCGGTTCAGCCTCGCGCAGCTGCGCGTCCGCTTCACGGAACCACTCCAACAGCTCGTCGATGTCACCAATCACTTCAAGGGACCGCTGTTTGCTCAACCGCAGTCGTTCGGCCCTGCGCTGGATCTGTTCTGCGATCGCGTCGAAGCGGCGTTGGTCCCTCAGTACCAGAGCCTCGATTGTCGATGCACCCTCGCCTGGTGACACCTGACAGAGCTGTGGCCCCAAAGCCTGTATCTTATCGAGAACTGGACGAAACTCGGTGATCTCGAGCTCCAGCCGCGTAATCTCATCATCGTCACCACGCGCTCTTTCGGTAGTTGTGCTGGCACCAGCTAGGGCCGCTTCCGCAGCCTGCATCCAGTCTGTAAGCCGTGAGTGGTGTTGGTGGAATTGCTGCACAATTGGCAATGCCTCTTGTGCACGACGTAGCAACTCCGAGCCTCGCGTCACCAGTTCATCATAACGTCGGCGCAGCGAGTCTAACTTGTCTTTAAGCTGTAGGGCCTCGTCGGCGCCAATGTGGGTCATTAGTTCGTGGCCGGTTTCGCTAGTGGCCTCGAGCTCACTCTGACGCGAAGCCAATTCTTCGCTGATGTCGGCCAAGTCCTCCATTTGCTGCAGTAGTCTTTCGGTATGTACGGCTAAAACACGGTAGCGTGTTAAGCGAACCTCTGCCTCTTCCATCCAGGCCTGCAGCTCTTGGTAGCTAAGCACTAAATGACGCAGGCCCTGCTTCGAATGCTGCAGCAATGTTCCGAGAATCTCAGAGCGCTCGGCGAGGGCCCCATAGCGCTCGGCCACCTGCTGAAGTTTATCGGCTAGACTCGTGGCCTCGTCCTCACCCACCAGGCCCATGAGGCCACTTGCCACGTCAGTCAGTTCGCTGAAAAATGACCGCTTGGCTAGGATATCTTTGTGCAATTGTTGATGCTCGCCTATTTGCTGCTGTATTCTTTCCTCATCCGTAGGTACGAGCTCCATCTCGCGAACACGCGCCTCCGTATGATCAAGCCAAGACGCAAGTGGACTCAATTTGTCTTGAAACTCCTTAGCTACAGACATTGCGCGCTCAAGAGCCAACATACGTTCTTCTGCTGCCGCGTTCAAATTCTCGAAACGGCCCATCAGGTTACTTAACTGTACCTCTATGGTCTTTCGCTCCTTGGCTTCAGCGCCTCGGCTCACTTCGTGGCCCATTTCGTACAATGAGGATATCGAGTGCTGTCGGTCAACCAGCATCTTGCGCAGAAACTTCTGCTCCTGCAGCTGGGCTTTTACTACTTTGAAGTCTGACGATGGTGGTTTTTGATTAGCAACCATTTCCTCGGTATCAGCTAACCAATTTTCCAAACCATCCAGAGCCTCCTGGAACTTACCGGACTGTAGTAGCCCGACGTCCAACCGGCGATCTCGCTCGTTTATCTGTAATTCAAATCGATTAGAATCATATCGACTGTGTTATCACTCGAGAGTAACAAGACGATGCGTTTACTCACCCTCTCCTTAAGCTCATTCCAGCGCTCGTTCATCCGGTCAAGATCTCTCTCGATGCAACTCGTATTAACGTCACGGCCAGCGCTCTGAATGAGGCTCTGACCAAAGACATTAGCCTGTGTGACGGCCTGGCTAAGTGGCTCAATTTGCTTGGCTTTGAACATTCGGAAGTCCTCTTGTTGTGCGCGAATCGATTCTACTTCCGAGCCCACTGGCTTTAATTTGCCCACCTGTTCATGAACTTCGCTCATAAGGTCCAATGCCTGAGCTTGGGCCTTGGCGAACTGTTGCAGCCGGGCGAGTGTCTCATTCAACTCGTCCTCTCGGGCCCGTGCATTTTCTTCGAGCCTAGTCAACTGCCTTGAGAGCGACTCAATCTGCTGCCGAGTGGCTGCGGCGTCGGCGGCGAAACCCAAATCCACCAGGCTCTCGCCGCTGCTCACTAAACGACTAACGTCCTCTAACAGCCGGCCTATCTTAACCAGTAAAGCCCTCGTTTTCTCTATCTGCTCGCGTACAGTCTTGATTTCGCGGCCAGCAGGTTTCATATCTTCGAGTTCTCTCTCGAGAATGGTTAACTCCTGTACGAAACTTCGCAAAATATCTGTGAATTGAGCTACAGCGGTGGCCGCGCTCTGAAGCTCGTTACAACGGTCGTCGAGTTTGGCCTGCAGGTCTTCGATGCGATCGGCCACGCTGTCTACCTCGTCCAAAAAATGACTAGCATCCACACCCTGCTCACGCGCCTTGTGTCCCAGATCAATGGCCTGCTGGCGTACGTTGCCGAGTGGTCGCTTTAAGGCCACTGTCTCTTCCCTTAGTTTCTGTAGCAATGTAAGTAAGTTTTCCAATAAATAATTCGATTGTCCAACTGGTTCGTAACTTATCTTTACTTACCTTGATTCGATCGAGGAGTTTTGGATCTTTTGCCGCTCCTCCCAGAGCATCATGCGATGCCAGTTTGTCCTCACATCGTTCAAGCTCATGTACTAATTCTCGCAAGCTCTCGTTAAAATCGGCAAGGTGTCTCGCTGTGTCCTCAAGCGACTGCGTTCGTTGCAGCAATTCTGTGGGTGGAGAAATGACATCTCAGCTTTATTGGCTAGGCCTAGTAAAGACAAGACTGCACTGGGGGGCAGCTTTTCCAAGTTACACTGAATATACTATTATACTTGCCATTATTTAGTTTATCCCATCTGGCTTGCATGGTATTGAGTTCGTTCTTCACCACATCCTTGTCGATATCGCAGGCGCTAACAAACGTTTCGCCGAGAGTATTATTGTTTTCAAACTCTCCAGATTTCTTCCAAACTTCGTTTCGAAACCCAGACAATTCTTTCAGTTGCTTCTCAATGTCTTTACGCTTGAACGACATCGGCTTGAAACTCTCGAGCTTGTCTTCGGCTACACGCAACCAGGGCAAGAAGAGATTTTGCGCGCGATAGTATTTATTGCAGTGCTCGGCACAAGTTTGTAGTTTGGTGTGTCTATCAAGAGTATCCTTCTTCAGACGGTCCCACTGGAATTGCATTTTGTCGAGATCACGCTGCAGGGTTCGGTTCTCGAGCTTCTGCGATCTAGCAAGTATGCCACGACCTTTATTCAATAGCATTATCACCTCATGTTCCCTGCTCATGACGCTACGATATACCGGCTGAAAGATAAAAATAAAAAATAGTCGAGAAAAAAACTTGGAGTTGTCATGGAGGTTCCCTAATGGACAATTTACCTCGTGATGTTCAAGTTGTTGATGTAATAACTCACGATCGGCTGAGACAAGCAGCTTCTCGGACATGCCACTAAGCTCGTCAGCCAACCAACCAAGAATCTTACTGCATGAAGCATCATACTGGCGACCGTCTTTAAGACTTCCTTCGATTTCAGCTTTCCTGTAGTCCAATTTCTTTTGTAAATTATTGTATAGCTTATTAACGGAGGCAAGCTTAGCCTGGATGTCGGATTTGGAGGCTGGATCACTGAGAACCTGGCATAGCTGCTCACCCGCGGCTTCAGCGTCTGCGAGTAGTGGCCGCTGGCCCTCGAGCTGCCTGCCAAGATGTTCGATTTTGCGCAGCTGTTCCTCCGGATCCTTGTCGAGTGGTAGTTCGTCCAAATTATCCGATATGGTCTGCAGAGCATCGCGTAATCGGCTGAGACTAGCATCGAACTCTCGGCTGGTGTCGACGGCATTGCCCAAGCTTCGTGCACGCTCTTCCAACTCGGCCAATTGATTTTTCCAGCGCTGCAGAATACCGTTGAGTTTTTGGCGTATTTTGTGAGCATCGACTGAATCTGTAGCCAACCTCACGAGCACGCTATCGGCTACGTTTACGAGGTGGTCCAGCTGAGGCTGCTGCGTGCGAAATTCTTCGCGGAGGACCTGCACCTGCTGTACCTGACTAGCCACCATACGTGGGTCTGGCGATATCGGGCCCAGGGCCCCTAGCATCCGCTCCTTTGTGCCAATCCAGGTACTCAGGGCCTCATAAGTATCGTGCCACTGCTTAATACTCTCTAGAAATTTCTGCCTATCCTTGCAAGCTTCGGATACAAACTTCCAACGCTCGGCTACCTCCTCAAGCTGTTGATTCAGGACGTCAACGCCACTTGCTCCAACCTTTCGCCTTACCAACTCACGCACCTGGCTTTTGGTGCTATCGAGTAATGACTGCTTCTCATACATTTCTTCCATAAGGTGCTTAATCTGCTTGCTCGTCTTGTCGGCTTCCATCTTAGTCTCATGCATCGTTTCCTTCGGCAATTGGCGATGCACCTGCCAGAAGAACTCCAGTTATCAACCAATTTACGAGCATCCGTGTAACATTTCAAGAAATAAAAACGATATCAACCATCAACAAGCTAACTTTGCAGCACTCACCTTATCGAGAAATTGCAAAAGCGTCTTCAAATTATCGCGGTATTTGCGCAGCTCCTCGCGGACGTTGTCGAGTTCGTTTTGTCGTCCAGACAGCCTTACTCCCAGAAGCTCGTAGCGATTGTTAATCTCCACTAGCTGCTGTTGTACCGGTGACAAATCCTCTAAAAGAAATCCGTCTTGACTGGAGCGACGGCTACCAAAGCCACTGCTACCACCTGGGGAGACAGGACTTTGAACTCCGTAGGTTTTAGATGGAGACGGCGAGCGAGCATCTTGAGGAGTTCGATGCACTATAGCGGAGAGATAAAAGAAATCAAAGAAAAGTAAATGAGTTACTGGATAAACGAGGTGCAAGGACAAGGTTTAAGTAGCAGATCAAGATCGAGAAGAACGAGATGAGAGGTGACTCACGTGGGCTGGCGAGGCTAGGCCGTTTAGTTGGACTGCTGCTGCCACCGCGACGTCTGCTTGGACTAAAACTGCGTTCCTGAGTCATGCTATTATAGGCAATTCCCAGATCGTTGAGCTTATCGACAGTGGCGGCATGATCACGATACTCCTTATGCAGTGGCTTGAGTTCTTCAAGTTGTTGGTTGATCTTGTCAAGATCAACAGCTACTGGGGCCAGACGCTGCAATCGGGACTCAGTGCGGCTTAGCCACTCTTGCAGCTGCTCACGTAACTTTTCGTACGTGGCCAACCGCTCAGCGCGTGACTTATTCAGGCGCTGGCGCTCATCGAGCGCTACACTGAGTTCCTTCCAGCGCGCTTCTATGGACTTGAGGCGCTCACGTATTGGGCCCTGGTCGGTTACGTCCTTCTTAGTAGTAAGAGCCTTGCCTAAACGCACGAGTTCTTCGTAAGCGGGCCGTTGTTCCTCGCGCTTCGCCGCTAGCTCAGCCAGCTCAGCCTCGACCAGCTCGCCACCCTGCGCCAGATGCTCGGTCAGTCGCGCTGTCCAGCTCTCGATTTTGGTCTCCTCCTGCTGTAACCGTAATAGTTCGCGGCCGAGTTCTTCTAGTAGCTGGCTCCGGCGACTGCAACGTTCATACAACTTGTCGAAACGCGCCTGTGCATCCTGCAGCCTGCTCTCTGCACGTTTGGCCATTAGGCTTGGCGCATCACATAGCATGCACGTTACGGCTTCGAAACTTCTACGATGTCCGTCCAAATCGGCTTGCAATATTCGCTGTTCCCGCTGCTGCTCTTCCAAGCGCTCCCGCAGAAGGCTCGCCGGTCGAACCATGTTTCTGTCAACATTCAGAGAATTATAGATACGAATTTCTAAGAGAAACAGAGAGAGAGAGAGAGAGAGAGAGAGAGATGATGGAAAAAAGTAATCGATACCGTTATCATTGTGAACTTCAGCCACACGGAAAACGGGCAGTGAACTCACTTGAAATGGAGCTCGGCCTGACTGAGCCAGCCGAGTAGTGAATCGAGGGCGTCCTGTAGGCCTTGGCTTTGCAGTAGTCCCGCTTCAAGCTCTCGGGAACGTTCTGCCAAAGCCTGACTCAGCTGAGCGTGCTTGACCAGAAGGTGCTGTACGGGTTCCTCAAGATCATGCCGCTGCTGCGAGGCCAAGTCCGGTACCCCGGCTTCGAGTAGCGCCCGCACAGCCTGTTCGGCTCCGAGTAGCAGCCGTTCATTGGCCAGCAATTCGGCGTACAGAGCCTTCACAGCACGGAGCTGCTCTTCCAACTGCTTGGGCTCAAGTGACTGGCTCTCATCGAGCAGTCGTTGTGCCCGCGGCTCGAGCTCGTTTAGCCATGCCGCGGCTTTGTCCAGGGCCTCACGGTACTCGCGCTGTCTTGATATAAGCTGCGCCTGTAACTCAGCCAGTTGCGAGGCACGCTCCAGCAACTCTTTATAGCTGGTGGTCAGTTGGGCCACCTGGGCCCGCACCAGCGAGTCTTGCGTTGATATAGGCTCCTTGTGCGGGAGCCGTTGTGATAGAGAAGTACGGAAATCGTTTAGCAGCTGCAGATATTCCCTACCCTCATCACAAAACTTCTGCCCAGCCATGGTGATGAAGCGTAGATCCGCTTGGTGGGCGATCACTTCACTCACAAGCTCGCGCGTGCCCTCCTGCTCCCGGCTGCTCGCCAAACCCCGTAGCTCACTCAGTCCGCGTTCCTTTTCCTCAAGCTGCCGCAGCAATTTATTCAGCCAAGTCTTCAACGATGACACCTCACAACTGCAATTGCAATGCGAGGCATCCTTTTAGTATTATCATTACTGTACAGTCGTTGCCTACAAAGATCGCGGCAATAAACAACAATTTTCAATCTCGTTGACTCGCTTCAATTTTTAATTTTATTTTTTTTGTTTAAGATTTTAATACCATTCTATAGTCTTGTTAAGTGATTTGAAAAGTTTAGCAAAGGTTTAAACACGGAAAAATAAAAGGTTAATTTGTTCATCTGTAATAACTACCTAATAAAGGCATCATCACAAAACGTTTTTTACTTTGAAGAACGAGGGAGGGTCATTAAGTCTTTACAAAATCCAAGAGATGTCGCTCGTCACGCTTTAATTATGATGTTTTTGGCAAGCAATACTACTAACTAGATATCGTACAAAGTTTCAGCTCGATTCATTAAGTCGTTTTTTTGTAAGCGTTGGTTGAACAAAAAGTTATTGGTCTATTTGAAAAATGGGAAAAACAGAGTTTCGAGCGGTGATAAAACATTTTCATTTGAAAGGCCTTACACCAAAAGAAATCACAGCTGAGTTGAACGTCGTTCATGGCAAGTTTGTTCCTGTGTTTAAGACTGTTTATAACTGGGTAAATGAATTTAAACGCAGCCGTACAACAACAAAAGATGGACCTCGTTCACGACGCTCCGTAGAAGTAAGTACGCCCAAAATGGTCAACTAAATCCACGATATGTTGTTGAGTGATAGAAGATTAAAATTGTGAGAAATAGTTGAGGCCACAGGGATATCAAAGGGTACAATCATTTCAATTTTGCATGATAAATTGGGGATGAAAAAAATATCAGCAAGATGGGTGCCGCGTTTGCTCACTGTTGAAAACAAGTCACCTCACGGTTTTGTCGGTTTTGTGGGATGCGTATGGAATCATCTACATCGACTTGGAAAAGGGCCAGACGATCACTGGACAATATTATGCGTCATTATTAGACCAGCTAAAAGAAAAAATCAGAGAAAAACGTTCTCACTTGAACAAAAAAAATGCCTCTTTTTTCAAGACAATACTCGAGTTCACACATGTGCAGTTTCGATGGCAAAAATTAACGATTTAAAGTTCGAATTAATTGACCATCCACCATATTCGCCTGATTTGGCTCCCAGTGACTTTTTCTTATTTCCTAACCTCAAAAAATGGCTTGCCGAACAACGATTCACGTCGAATGAAGAAGTCATCGCCGAAACAAATGCCTATTTTGAGGGTTTCCAGAAATCATAATTTTCTGATGGCTTAAAAAAATTCGAAGGCCATTTAATAAAATGTATCGACCTTCAAGGAGATTATGTTGAAAAATAAAAAAAAATTACATACGCAAAAGTTTTTTTTCCTTCTTTTTGTAAAGACTTATTGACCTCCCCTCATACTAAGTAAATTCTATAACGTTATTGAGCGCTCATCATCTTATTAATCAAATAAATAAGCGCCGTGCACACAATTATGAATGTCAGGATTACACGAAAAACATTTTTAAGACCTAATTTTCTGAGTTTCCATCTGTCGTCAGAGTCGAAATATTTTTTCAATATGAAACCATGTTTTCATATTTCCAAACTGATGTTTTCAAACAAATTTTTAAAATTAGTTTCAAAACATGAAGAAAACCCATCATATTTACGATGAATTTATGTTGTGCATACTTGAGATTTTGCTTACGGCTTACAAAAATTAAAGTTTTTGATGATATTTTTATTAAAAATATTTTTATATTTTAACTAATAAATCACATTTTCACATTATGACTGATTTATTTTAATTAAAATTAGTGTCAGATGTACTTTGCGTACTCTATTTTCATTTGTACTGATATTTATTTTCATATATGCTTGAATCAAATCACAATTACTTATGGCGACATGGAAAATTCTAAAATACACCACATACGAGGTGTGTTCAAAAAGTAACGAGAATTTTTAAATTTCGCGGGTTTGGAGAGTCCGCTTGTATAAAATTTTTTTTTATTATGTTGGTACACATGCCCCTGAAGTACGATAAAATTTTCAGCAATATTCATTGCTTACTTTTTAAGTGGCAGCCGCTAACGTTAGACGTGTTTTTCGAGCTCGGCGATTTTCGTTTGTGAAAAAAAATGGATCAAAGAATTTGTATTAAATTTTGCGTAAAAAATGAAATAAAGTGTAGTAAAGTTTGTCAAATGTTAACAAAGGCATATAGTGAGTCTGCTATGAGTAAAGCAAGGATTTATGAGTGGTATAAGCGTTTCCAAGATGGTCACGAAAACGTTGAAGATGACGAACGACCCGGACGCCCAAGCACATCAACAACCGATGAAAACGTGAAAAAAGTGAAAGAAATGGTTATGAACGATCGCCGAATCACAATCAGAGAAGTCGCTGATGATGTTGGCATATCAGTTGGCTCATGCCATCAAATTTTTTCGAATGTTTTGGGTATGAAACGTGTGGCAGCAAAATTCGTTCCAAAATTGTTGAATTTCGAACAAAAACAGCGGCGAATGGAAGTTGCTCAGGAGTCGCTAAATGAAGTCAATAACGATGCAGAACTACTAAAACGTGTTATAACAGGTGACGAAACATGGGTTTACGGATATGATGTCGAAACTAAGGCTCAATCGTCCCAGTGGAGGCATTCTGGATCGCCAAGACCGAAAAAGGCTCGACAAGTGCGGTCGAATGTGAAGGTTATGCTCACTGTGTTCTTCGATTTTAATGGCATAGTGCATTATGAATTCTTGCCACAAGATCAAACAATCAATAAGCAGTACTACCTACAAGTTCAACGTCGTTTGCGTGAAGCAATCCGAAAAAAACGCCCGGATTTGTGGCAAAACAATTCATGGCTTTTGCACCACGATAATGCGCCTGCTCACACTTCATTGCTTGTTCGTGAATTTTTGGCCAAAAACGAAACCGTAACGATGCCTCAGCCTCCATATTCGCCAGATATGGCTCCATGTGACTTTTTTCTATTTCCAAAAATAAAGAGAACATTAAAAGGCCGTCGTTTTACAAGCATAGGTGACATTAAAAGCGAATCGCTGAAAGAGCTAAAAGCTATTACAAAGATCGAGTTTCAAAAGTGTTTCGAGGATTGGAAAAAGCGTTGGCATAAGTGTATTGTATCCGAAGGGGACTACTTTGAAGGCGACAACATTAATGTAGATGAATAAATAAATATTTTTTTCATAAAACGAAAATTCTCGTTATTTTTTGAACACACCTCGTATATAAAAAAATTCTATACTTTAACATGATAACATCCATCAATATTAATTGGTAAATAAACATTCAATTATAACTATATTTGTAGATTTTATTATAATTTCAAATCTAATAACGTAGTAGATTTTTAGGTGTTAAGCTATAGGTAATGGGAAGCACACTACGTTTGTTCCTCCATTTTCGTCTTCTAAATAAATAAATAAATGAAACCGTCAGTTGAGCCTGACAATTATATTTTTTATATTTTTTAACATATTTGTTTAAAATTTAGAACTTTTTTGTACGATATTCCCACATCATTTGATGATATGGATTTGAATGTATTTTGTTGGTAAAAATAGTGGAAGTCATTTTCGGCTCACTTGGAGCATTGTTTTTCACAAATTAAATTTCAAAATTTTCACTTTCAGCAATCAATGTTACTATCATCTTTCATTTATGCAACCGTTACATTTTAACTTTTCATTTACACTTATAAAATTAATTTCACAAAAATTTTTTGACGTGCAGACAATTATGCACGGTTTTATTGTAAACATTAACTATTGTGCACAATAACATGGTGCGAATCAGCGTTTATCAATTCTTATATATTACGTTACTTTACGCAATAATTTGTGCGTATAATAAAATGGTACACGGTGCTCTAGAAGCGACGATAGATATAACAAAAATGTCGAATAAAACCGTTTTCGACACTCCGTGCGGAAAGTGCGTTTTTACCGCACGCTCGGCAAAAAACGTGCGTTGAAAATCGCACTTTCCACACGTCGTATAAAAAAATACGGTACGGCACATGTTCAGGAAAGAGTTTCTCGTCTCGTGTACCTTTCCACCGTCGCTTCGCTCGGGCGTAAACGCCACACGAGACAAAAATCTATTTTCTCGCACTTGTATCGTAATGTACTATTACGTAATTCAATTCTGTATTAGGTGAGATATTCGTTTAAAACGAAATCCTAGCGATTCTCTAACTCGAAATAACATTATTAAACTATAGTACAATTTTATTGATTTTTTTACTTTTAAACTTTCAACTAATGCACTTGTAAACGTCACAATCAATATTAAGTTGTACAGTATCACAACTATAATATATATTTCAATCGACTTCCGGTCGAGAGCTCAGGCGGGATAGACGTGTGCGGTGTAGGATAGCAATAAAGATAGTGATATTAGGATAAAAGAGAGAAGAAACAATTGAAAAATGGACTAGCAGGTCAAGTATAAGTAAGAAGATCAGCAAAAGTGCGGTTATGGCGGTAACGAGCAGGAAGGAAGAGACGAAGAGCGGAGAGCAAGAGTGGACAAAGAAGGGACGGGGCAGACCAAAGAAAGTAGGAAATGAGAAGAAGGAAAATAGTGGAGAAAAGGATATAAGAAAGTTTATGCAAAAGGAGGAAGATAACAAGGAAATATGATTCGCAAAAAGTGTCAAATTAGTGCATACACCACCGAGGAAACCAGATGAAAGGTCATGCGGTAAAGTAGGGAAAAATCACAGTGAAATAATTGAGCAGATAGAGGAAATCTCGTATTTTATGCATTTTACAAGCGGGCTGATTATTCACGGCTATATGCACTCAAATAAAACAATCAAGCATTTGGTAGTCGAAAGGAGCGTTACCTCTAGAGAAATTATATCTAGGGGCCCAAAATTATCCTACTAAATTTTTCGCTCAATTTAGTACTGTACATACGAGTATACCTACTTTTCGATTCGACTAAGACGCTCGCCCCATAATCAGCTGGGGCAAGTGATTAAAAGCAAAATTAAAGGCA